GTTAGGGGTGGGGCGTTGTGGTTGGTGGGGTGCCCCTACCTGTGCCCCCTAGGACCCCACACTGACCCTTGCCCTGCCCCTAGGATGAGGCGCTGTCCCGTGCTGCTGTTCCTGGCCTGGGCTGGCTTCCTGTTCCTGGCCGGCCTGTGGCTTTTCGCCAGCGGGTTCCTGCTGCTGCGGGTGGAGCTGCCCCAGCGCAGCGCCTGCTCCCCCTCACCTGCCCCGGCCGCGGCCCTGGCCGTGGGCTCGTGCTGGCTGCCGCGGCGCTTTGCGCGGGCCGTACTGGTGCTGGTGGACGCGCTGGCCTTCGAGTTCGCTCGCTTCGAAGTGGCACGGCCGCGCCCACGGCCCTATGAGAACAAGCTGGGTGCCCTGCACCACCTGGCGGCCACCCAGCCCCACCACGCCCGGCTCTACCGCTTCCGCGCCGACCCGCCCACCACCACCATGCAGCGCATCAAGGGCCTCACCACCGGCTCCCTGCCCACCTTTGTCGACGTCGGCAGCAACTTCGCCTCCTACGCCATCCGCGAGGACAACCTGCTCGCGCAGCTCATGCACAATGGTGCGGGGAGGGGCGCTGGGCGGGGGTGCTTAGAGCGGGTGGGTGTGCAGCTGTGAGGTCATCCTCCATCTTAGGTGCTTGTACGAACCGCACGCCCATCTGCACGCACACGCGCATTTGTGTGTGTGCACGCATATAGGTGCACACATGCATGTATAGGCGCACATGTATTGCTGTACATACGTACGTGTGTGCATACACATGTATGTGTACATTCATATGCAGACGCGTATCCACGTGTGTACAGATGCGTGTGTGTGCACATGTATGCATGTACACGTGCATATCTGTACACACGTGTATGCATGGCTTCGTGCCCTGTCTGGGGGAAAGCTGCTTTGCTGGCACTCTTCTGCTCTTAGTCATTGAGGTGCAGTCCTTTCCCCCTGTTTGATGAGTTAACAGGTTTGGTCTCTCCCAACCCTGATCTCTGAGCCTGGAGATGAAATCAGGGACAGGAGCCGGGGGAGAATGTCCCCCCTCGATACTTCCAGCGGCCTGAGCAGTGTGCAGTGGGGTCACACTTGAGTGTCTCATAGGGGAGCAAGGTCTGGCCATCAGTGCTTTAGTTCAGGTGTGAGTTGCTGTAGCCGCCACATTCAGGCTCTGCATGAGTTCGTGTTGGGGTTCGTGCCACATACAGGTTCTGCCCCAGGCACACGGCCTCATGTTGGGGCAGTCGGGTGCAGCCAGGGCCCACCAACACCGGGAGGAGGGCGAGAGGAAGGTCTGGATCTCGGCAAGGCTGTTGGAGGAGGGTGCTGGTCCCATCCCAGATGTCTCCAGTGCAGGTCGGGGAAGCGCCCCAGGCACCATGTAACGGGGATGGTCACAGTCATCCTCATCTGCAGGATGACCCTACCCCTTCCAACTCCCTGTTCTTGGCATGGGCAGAAAGAGGGAGCTCTCAGTTAACAGCTTTCCAGCCCAGTCTCGCCCTTCTCCTGGTGCTGGGAGGGGATGGGCACATGGCATGTCTGATGTGTCCTCCAGCTGCTCCGGGCTTTGCAGTGAGGAATGTGACCCCTGCCCTGAGGAGTCTGTAGGTAGGAGCAGACACAGGACCAGCTCCCCCGGACTGGCTGTGGGGACAGACACGATGGCCAGACTCACCTGAGCAGTAACTTTACCCTGAGGGTGGTGACCCCGTGTTAGGCTGTGACCACTGAGAGATGCTGCTGGGGCTTGGTAAGGGGCTGGGTAAATTCTCTGAGAAGAGCATTGGAGAATCCCGGAGCCTGGGGGAGGCCCCTGGTTCTGTTCAGTGCTCCCATCTCTCTGTTGTCTCTCACCTGATGCTTGGGGCAGGGTCTGGCCTGGCCTGTAACAGGACCGAGCCCAGCAGCTGCCTCATTACAACTACATAAATCATGTGTGTCCTTTAGCATGTTCAGTCTTTGGCCTCTTGCAGAGATGGCCCATAAGAGGAACCCTTTGTGCTGCACTGGGCGTGCGCTACGGGCACTACTAACAGGGCTGAGCTCTCCCAGCTGGTTGTGCGTAGCCCTGGAGAACAGCTCTGGGGTGCTGCTGACCTTGAGCCCGGGCTGGGGCAGAGCTGGGGTCCCTGTGCTGTTCTGGGCCTGTCTAGACTCCTGGGATCAGCACGGGACGGTGGGGAGCATCCCGGCGCCCTGCAGGTCACAGTGCTAACTCCTGTCCCTTTCTGCAGGGAGGAGAGTGGTGTTCATGGGGGATGACACATGGGACGGGCTCTTCCCCAAGATGTTCTCTCGCTCCTACTTCTTCCCGTCCTTCAATGTGAAGGACCTGCACACCGTGGACGACGGCATCCTGCAGCACCTCTACACCACGGGTGAGCACCTCTTCCTTGGGGCTGGGGCTGTGCCCTTGTCGGGTGATGAGCCTGGCCCAGGTTGGGGGTGACCCACCTGCCCAGAGTCTGTTATGGGATCTGGGGGCTGCCGTGTTCTTCTGAGAGGGACGTGCTGCTCCTGGCTTGGGAGAGACCTGCAGCTGGGCTGGGGGGGGGGAGTTTCTTCTGCAACTGCATAATGTGATGGCCCGAGGGGCCTGGGTGCCTGCTCCTTGCGGGGAGAGGGAGGTTGAGTTTGTCTTTAAAACGATGTCCCTTCCTGACGCTGGAGGAAGAAAGAGAAAGGAGTGGGCTGGGGGCTGCCTCTGCTACTGTGGGGCTTGCTGTAGCTCCCACAAGGCGACAAGCACTCCCTGAATGCAGGGCAGGGGGCAGTGTCCTCAGAGAGCTCTCAGCAGCAAAGAGAGAGACTGGGCAAAGGTGCCTGGGGACCAGCCAGAGCCACAGCGCCCGTGGGTATTCCCCTTCAGTGGGAAACACTGGGTGTCCTGTCCTGTCCCAAGAGCCTGAGGGTGACAAGGGGGCACCCAGCTGGTGGGAGAGGGTCACCCCCCCCCTCACATCCCCCACCTCTCTTGCTGTGCAGTGGATGGAGGGGACTGGGACCTGCTGATCGCCCACTTCCTGGGCGTGGACCATTGTGGGCACAAGCACGGGCCTGACCACCCAGAAATGGCCAAGAAGCTGACCCAGATGAACGAGATGATCAGGTGACCGGAGGGGAGGGGGTGCCAGCTTACTGTGGTGCCTTCAGGACCCTGATTTTCAGATGGGGATACAGGGTCCCTGCATCCCCAGCCCATTTCATGGAACCTGCACGGGGTGGCTGGTGGTCTCATGGGGAGCCTGGCTGGCCTTTGTGGGCTGAGGAGCAGGGAGCACGTGCTGCAGCAGAGCGGTGGCTTTGCGAGGCGACAGACGAACCCCCAATGGCAGCACACAGAGCCCTGGGGTTGCCTCTAACGGGGTCACAGTCAGCCACGTGCTCTTAAATCACTGGGGATTGAGTCAGTCCTGGCCTGCTGTCCCAGGACCCTGCCCAGGGGAGGGGGCTGGGTTAGAGCTGTAGGTCAGAACTGGAGCCTGCGGGAGGGCATGTGGAGTTGGCTTCTCCATGCCTGCAGTGAGAGCGGCCCCCAGAAAGCGCAAGCACTGTGGAGCCGGTGCTAGCGGGTGCAACAGCTAGTGCAGAGGCTGACGGCAGAGAGAGAACCCAGGAGTCCTGGGGCCCTGTTGGGGTCTGGGGACCCATAAGCCTGTTCCTGTGGGAAGTGGTGATGGTTCATTGCTCTTCCATACAGCTCGCTGGTGGATCATCTGGAGAACGACACACTGCTGCTGGTGGCAGGTGACCACGGCATGACGGACACTGGGGACCATGGGGGAGACAGTGAGAAGGAGGTGAACGCGGCACTCTTCGTGTACAGCAAAATGCCGCTCTTCCGAGCTGGCCCACCAGAGGTGAGAGCGGGTCGGCATCCACACAGCCTGAGGCCCCCAGCCCTGCCAGGCAGTGTCCAGCAGGGCTGTGGCCCTGGGTCATGGAGCTGTTACAGGTAGCCCAGCCTATCTCCACACACAGGCTGTAGGCAATGATTTGGGAGGGGAAGGGAGGTATGTGTTGGCCATGACTCCAGGAAGGGTGTGTTGGCTGTGACTCCCACTCCCCCTCTGGAGCATCTCCAGGGATTGAGCCCCTCTGCTGCTCTCTAGCTGCCCCCCATCTGCCCTGTGCAGGGGGGAGCGGCCCTGAGGCCCTGCAAGTCACCAGTGAGGACCTGCAGGTGCAGCACCATGGGCACCGGGGTGTCCCAGCTCAGGGGATGCCGAGCACGAATGTACCAGCAACCTCAGCCTGTGGACGTGCTCAGCAGCTATGCCCTTCTCTTGTTGCCTCAGGAGCCGGAAACTGTCCCACAGGTGAACCTGGTGCCCACGCTGGCCCTGCTGCTGGGCGTGCCTATTCCCTACAGCAGCATCGGGGAGGTGATGGCCGACCTGTTTGAGGGGGACGGGGACGCTGTCACCGCTGCGCTCAGCCAGCTTGCAGCATATCATGTCAACGCCAAGCAGGTAGGGGAGGGATCTCCTTGCATCATGCACCCGCTGTCCTTCCCACCCCAGCGCCTGGGTGACAGGCATGTAGATCTGCCCAGGGTCACTGAGGCAGCAGCAGCACTGGCACTGGAACCCAGGTGTCCTGGTGCCCACTCTTGTTATGGTCCTAGGTGGCTCCTCTTGCTGTCTGCTGGAAGGAGCCTTTTGGACCCCGCGCTGTTAGGGGCACCTTTTGGAAGGTGCCTGACTCAGACGTGCCTGGTAGTTAGACTGTAAAACATCCCCAGAGCCCATGTCCAGGGGGCTGTGAGCTGGTAGACCAACTGGCCAGTGATATCACTGGGGCATTGCTGTTGGCCAGGGGAGTTTCCAGCAGGTCCCGCAGGAGTGGGTGTGAGACCTGAAGCTGCTTGGGGATGTCATCAGTGACCTAGAAGGAAACAGTTAGTGGCTGCCAGCGGAGCATGTGGCTGGCGCAGGGCTTAGTAGTGCGATAAAGAGGAGGCAGTCGGCTCACTCAAATGTGTGCTTCCCTGTGTCTGGGAACAAGGTGTGTCCTGCACCTACAGGCTGGGGCTTGGAAGGGAGCAGGATGCTTGTGCCAAGCTGGATCCAGCTTCCATGGGACTGCATAGGGACAGGTTGTGCAGCTGAGGTGCAGGTGCTGATGATGCTTTGGGTGCAGTACAATGCCTGGGGGAGGCAGGAGGGAGCCAATGCCCCTGCGACTGCTGACAGACCCCGTCTCTCCCAGGTGGACCGCTTCCTGGACTCCTATGCGCTGGCTGCCCAGGACCTGCCTGGGAACCGGCTGCAGCAGCTGAAGGAGCTGTTCACCGCGGCAACAGAGGAGCATGCCCAGTTGCTGGCCCAGGTGCAGGAGGGGCTGCCGGCGTTGCCGGAGCTGGAAGCCCAGCTGGGGCGGCTGCGCAGCCACTTCCAGCACTACCTGCGGGAGGCACGGGCTGTGTGCACAGCATCCTGGGCCCGCTTCCACCCCTTCCGCATGGTGGCCGGCTGCACCCTCATTGCTGCCTCCTGCCTGCTTTGCTACATCGCCTCCGAGCTGACCAACGCCCTGGACTTCTACCGCCACTGCTTCTACTCACTGTTTGGGGGCCTGCTGGCAGCGGCTATATTTGGATGGGCCCATGGGGACCTGGACCCCATCTTGGTGGCATCATGGGTAGCTGCAGCCTCCCAGCTGGGCTTCTTTTGGCACTGGTGGAGCCAGCGGCCACGGCGAGTCCATCTGGCTAGTGTCCGGCCACCGGTGGCCAGCATGGGGCTGTGGCAGAGGCTGCGAGCGTGGCTGGGGCCGGCTTTGCCCCTGGGCATCCTGGCCCTCCGCTGTGGCGCTATGTTTTCAGACAGCTTTGTGATAGCCGAGTCCCGAGTGGTCCCATTCCTCCTGGCTTCCCTGGTCATGCTGTGGGTGGGGAAGCTCCACTGGGATGGCCAGCTGAGCACCCCCCCAGATGCCCCCAAGCACCCCCCTGGCTCCTTCTCCTGCCATAAGGAGAGCCGGCCCCTGCTGGGCCTCCTGGCTGCCCTGCTGGTTTGCTTGCGCCTCTCGAGCCTCTTCCACCAGTGCCGCGACGAGGTGCTGCACTGCCAGCCCTCGCCCTGCTTGGCGCCGCTGTCCAGCCTGCGCAGCCCCCAGGCCAAGAACCTCTGCTACCTCCTGTGCGTGGCCTCGCTGGTGGGGCTGGTGTATGCAGTACGGCGCTGGCTGCGTCACTACGGCAACCTCAACAGCACCAGCCCCCTGGTGCTCTTCGTACGCTGGGGCTTCCCGCTGACGGCCTTCTGCATTGCCTGCTACTGGGCCGTCACCTCGGGCACCGAGGACACGCTGGGCAAGCTGCAGGAGCTGGTGCAGGCTGCGCTGGTTGCCTTCCCTCGTGCTGTCTATGGGCTGGTGGCTGTTGGGCTACTGCTGGTGCTGTGGAAGCCGGTGACAGTGTTCGCCCAGGACAATCGGGCTGCAGCCGGACCCATTGTGACCCCCTACCAGGGGGCACCCAGCTCCCAAGCCGACCTGCTGCACGTCATCTCACAGATCTACAGGAGGATGCAGGAGTCCCTGAATAGCCGGCTGGAGGGTGGGAGTCGGTGGGCAGCAGTGGCTGCCTATGGGCTGGGCAGCGTGTACTCGGCTGCCCTGATCATCACCCTCACACTGCTGGGCTTCTTCCTGCTGCTGCTACACAGCGAGCGCATGAGCCTCTCCTTCCTGCTCCTCTTCCTGGAGGCCTTCATACTGCTACGGCTCCATGTGTCTGCCATGAGCCTGGCTGGCGAGGCGGGTGAGTCAGGTGCTGGGATCGCTCGGGCAGCTGCCTTTCTTGGGAATCAGGGAGGGCCCCACTCCAGGCAGGTGGTGTCAGCAGTCCCCTCTTCCCGGGCAGGGGAAGAGGGGACTGCTTGATCTGCTCAGGTCCCTTCTGACCCTACCAGCTATGAAAGGGAAGGGGAGCCCAGCTATCCTGAGCTGGGCCCTGTGGCTGTGAAAGCAGCCCAAGCTTGGGTCAGAGGCCTCCCAGGCGGTGGAGAGCTCTGTAGCCCCGTGGCTGGGTGGGTAGGGATCATCAGGGCTGCCTGGATGCCCTAGGCTGGACTTATCTTCTTTCTCGAAGGAGAGGTGAGCAGAGGGACTCTGGTGTCACTCCCCTTGTCTAGGTCATCCATACATCATGCTAGGATGCTGTCCCAGTGCCCAGTCCTGGAAGACTCCTATGATACGGCCCTAGGCCCAGTACTTAGTGGCACAAGCTCAGCGAGGGTTATTACCCCCAGAGCCCCTTATAACACACGCAGCCAGTGTCATAAGGCCCCGAGATCCAGGGGCCTCAGTCCCTCCTTTATGCAGCTGTCACCTGTCTCCACAGTCATCCTTGTTCCCACCACAAGATAAGATGTTCCAACTGAATAGGAAAATGTGCTGACCATGTCACTTCAATCCTGGTACATCTCAGCCCTCCTTTGCTGTTGAGCCCAGGGGTGAGGGGCATGGCGTCAGAGCTTCCCAGACTTTCAGTGCTGGAGGCTGCAAGGGAGAGAGAAACGGGAAAATCCTGGTCAGACCCCAGTCTCTCCCTTCCAGCCTCTGCTCTCTGCTGCTGTGTGACATAGGAGGTGGGACAAATTTGACCTAGGGATTGACCCAGCACATGGCAGCTTTTTTGTGGGGGGGTCCAGGCCAGTCTTACTAGGCCTCCTGACCCATTAGCCTTTGGAGAAGCCCACACAGCCTGGTTTTCCCAGTGCCTTTTAATCTAGTGCATGTAGCAACGTGGGGCAGTGCCCAGTTCTGCTCAGCGAGATCTGCTTTCCGCAGAGCCTTTATGTGAGCTGTGCATGCAGCAGTCGAGGACCATGCTAATGCCTTTTCCAATGAAGCCCTTGGCAGTGAGGCAAGGGGGGGTTAGCAAGTGCCTTGTCTGGGCTAGGGGAAGCATCTTGGAGGTTTGCTCCTCACCCTGTTCTCTCTCTCTCAGAGTCCTTTGTGGTCTCCTGGAACGCGGTGATCGCCTGGGTCCTCGCCACCGCCCAGTTCTTCTATTCCACAGGCCACCAGCCCATCTTCCCCGCCATCCACTGGAATGCGGCTTTTGTGGGCTTCCATGAGGACCATGCCACCCACCTGGTACCTGCCCTGCTGGTGGCCGCCAACACCTTTGCTTCCCACATCCTTTTTGCAGGTAAGTGGATTTCTTCTTGGGCACCAGGGAACAGGACCTCAGCCTCTTTCCCAGCCTCCCAGGCTGGCTTTTGGGCTCAGTGCTGCAGGAAGCAGCTCGGGACATGGCGGGGGGCCCTCTTGGGCCCCCAGCAGAAGTCTGCAGACTGACTGGAGAGCTGCACATTGCTGCTCTCCTGGGAGGGGCTGGGTCTGAGGTGTCATCAGTCCCTGGTAGTGATGGACGGCAGTCCCTGCCTCCAGAGCCCTATGTTACTGGGACTCCCATCAACTCCCCGTGCCTTTGTCCTTGAGGTAGTTGGCTGCCCCCTGCTCCTGCTCTGGCCGTTCCTGTGCGAGACACCCAGCTCCCGGTGGAAGAGGCTGAAGAAGGACCCTCAGGATGAGGAGCAGGAGCCGCTCATGGAGATGAGGCTGCGGGAAGCCCCGGAGAGGTTCTCAGCCATGCTGCTGCAGCTGGGGCTCAAGTACTTTTTTGTCCTTGGCATGCAGGTAACGGCAGGGCCAAGCCCCCCTCACTGGGCAGGGGGCGGTCAGGGAGGAAAGCAGTTTCCAAGTGGTGGGGTCCAGAGAGTTAATGACCTGCTGCCTGCCTGCACATGAGGTGGTTGTGAGCCTGTCTGGGGCCCAAGGACACGGGGGAGCCGTGGTATAGCTCCTGGAGGCATGGCAGCTGTGGTAGCCTGCAGGGTGGGAGAGTGGGGAAGGAGTGCTCAGGTAGTGCTGAGCTCCTGACCTCAGCGGAGGGATTCTCTGGCCACTGCTTCAGGCCCAGCCTAGCTCCGGGCTCTCCTCATGGCCCATCTGAAATGGCTCCGGGCAGCCAGGGCTCTGCACGGTTGGCAGAGATGTGGCTGAGAGAGGCTCCTCCATGCTGACTCTGCCTCTCCCTCTCCTCCGGCAGCTCCTGGCCTGTGTCTGCACTGCCATGATCCTCAGGAGGCATCTCATGGTCTGGAAGGTCTTTGCTCCCAAGTGAGTCCCCGAGGCTGCTCTGGGCAGGGGGGTTGGTCCCTTGTTCTGGAGGGGAAAGGAGATGAACACTTGCAAGCCATAGCTCCAGTGGGGGAATGTCTCCATATCATGGGAGAAGCGTTGGGGAGGAAACAAGTGACCCTCATGGAACAGCTCCCAGGTGTACTGGCTGCTCACTGATGAGGGCTGAGCAGTGACCTTTCCGTGAGCTTTTGAGGGCCACGGCCTGTGGGGTGGGGGAGCTGTTAGGGCTCCTATAGTCTCGCATCCCTGGCTGCACTCCCATCATCTGTGGGGCTGGAGGGCTGCATGCTCCTGGGTGCTAGAGGGCTGTGTGCCCCCAAGGTGGAAGGAGCCAGGGTGGCCATGTCCCCCACACGGTCCCGGCTGCAATGCCATCTCTGTCCCCATCCTGCCTACAGGTTCCTCTTCGAGGCACTGGGCTTCGTGGTGAGCTATGTCTGCCTCCTGCTGGGCATCTCCCTGGTGCTGCACGTGGACTGTGCCGTTAGTGCCTGGTACAGGCAGCTCGAACCCAGGTAGCAGCTGAGCCGCCGGGAGGGAGCAGGGAGCCCAGTGCATCTGTCCCCTCCCTGCCGTGTGGGGCCTGCAGGGACTTGGCAGCCTGGGCTGCTCCTGCCTCCCTGCCGTGAGGGGCTGCCGGTTGGCTTTCACTCGCAGAGTGCACGAGCACGGAGCTGGGTGTCTTTTCCCCCTGCGCTGGGGTTGGAGGCTGGCTGTCTGCCCTGGTGATTGAGGGACCAGCTGGGTGGGGGATGGACACATCAAGCATGTCCCTGAGCTGATCAGTGAGGGGCAGTGCAGCCTGCAGTGGCTGCCATGGACCGGCCAGGCTTTTGAAGAGGAGGACCTGTGAAGTGCATGCAGTCTTGGAACTGCTTCCCCAGCCTGGCAGCAGCTGCTCCTATGAGACTGCCACCCCTGTCTGCTGCCTGGGGTGAGCTCTGGCCCCACCAGCCCCTTTCTTCCTTGTCTTCCTCAGCCCGTGGAAGGGCTCTGCATGTGTGCACCCCTGGGTCTGTGTGCATGGGTGCGTACATGGGTTTGTAGCTGGAGAAGCCTGCCAGGTGCAGGGTGGCAGGGCCCAACTATGGTCTGTGTGGCACTGCTTCTTGAGATGCAGCTCAGTTGGTGGGGGAGGGGACAGCCGGGTTGAGGCCAGTGTGCCCTGGGCAAGGCCCTTTCTGAACCAGTGACCCCTTTTCCACCTCCTCAGATCCCAAACCAGCCCCAACCCCCAGCTCTAGAGCCTTCAGTGGGGCTGTCTAATAAGTCATATCCACCTGGCTCCTCCATACTGTTGGCCGGTCATCTCCCCCTGCGGTGGGGAAATGATCCTGGAAGCTGCACAGGGCTTGGAAGGGGCTGTCTTTGCTGGCGGGACCCATGGAGTCACCCACTTGGCCCACCCCGCACACGACTTGCTGACACTGCTGGGGAGAGCAGCCAGGTCTGGCTTCAGCTCCACAGATGTGCCCATGAGTGTGTGGTGCAGCCAAGGGGCCCCTCTTGCCATGGCTGCAGTGCTCAGCTCTTCGCAAGGGGGTTGAGCTCTGCATTTGACCTCTGGTGGGCAACCCACAGGGTCACCTGCTACGGGGCTGTTCTCTGCAGTGCCCAGCTGCTCCTTCAGCTCTTGCATGGTGTGAGCAGGGGCCTTTCTGAGCATCTTTCTCTGCAGTGTGGGAGCTCCTGTCACTGCGTGCAGCTGCTGCCTGACTTCTGCCCAGCCTCAGCAGACAGTACTGGGAGCTCTGAGGCTGTGGCTGGCCTGACATCCCTGCTGCTGCCGGGACTGTGCTGTGCTTTCCGCTTCCCAGCACAACTCATCATTAGACAGCCAAGCCCTTTGCAGCCTGGGTCTGGGATATCGGGGCACCTGGCACATGTGAGTGAGCACTGCCCCCAGCGCGCCTGCTTCCATCAGGGCTGGATTACCCCACACCCAGGGCATGCGTAGCTACGACTTGGGCACAGCCACGTAAGGAAACAGTGGCTGAACCCAAAAGTCCTGGCTCCGCAAGATCCTGTGTTTGTCCCCACTTCTTTGCTAGCAGGTGCCATGTCCCAGGCTCTTTCCACCCCCCTGGCTTGGGGGAGAGTCCTGTACAACTGACCTAGACTCTTAAACTCCATGTTACCTTTAGGCTCTTTAGGGGTATGAGCACTGATGTGGGAGCTCAGTCTCCCCAGTTTCCCAATCAGTGTAATGGGACCCCTCACCGGAGAGGGCTCCTTAGACTGTGCAGTCGTGCCAAGAAGCCCCCAGCTGAATGGGGGCCCCGTTGAGCCAGTCCCTCCTGAGAGGCGGACTAGGCTTCCACACCAAAGGCCTTAAAGCCCGGCGGTTGTGCAGCACGCCAGGAGCCAAGGCTGCGCTCATTGCTTTTGCTAGTGCCTAGCCTCCCCCTGAGCCTGCTGGCTGCCTTGGGAAACGACAGGCAGTCTCCACTGAGCCTGGGGGCACAGGGTGTCAGTTGCTGCCATGAAATTGGCTGCGCTGGTAGTTTAAGCTCTGGGGCTGACATGCAGAGGAGGGAGGCAGTGGGCCAGCCACAGGCAGGGCTGAGTACCTCCCGGAGCGTTGTGCTGCTGCTGTCCTACTGTCAGCTTTCACCCGTCCCTGGAACAGGGAGAGAACTCCCTGCAAGGACCCCCAAGCAGAGCCAGGGTCGCCCCCAGGCAGGGGTGCAGTGGGTGGGAACTCGGGACAAGGCCCAGCTTCCTTGTGGGTGTCTGTGCACTGTCCCCCAAGGCACCGCTTGCAGAGACACCCTGTTTCTGGGGTGCAGGGGCAGCCTGTCCTGGGCTCTCCAGATGGGCCAGGCTGGTACCGGATCCTGCAGTCGCGGCTAGACAATGCATTTCAGTGCATTCCTCAGCCTGTTTGGTGATGCTGGAAGGGTCTTTTCACATCCTCAGTTTGCTACTTCTTGCTGGTGTCTGCAGACTAGGGTCAGTCCTGGCCCGGCCACTGCTGCCTGCTTTGCTCTGGTAGAGGGTGGCCGGATGCTCCTTGGCAGTGACCCTGCCTGGCCATGGTGGGCTCTGTCCATCTGCACAGGAATAAGACTCCATCGCAGCCCCTACCCAGTGCAAGCCCAGCTGCCAGCAGGGATGGCCGGGAGGTCTTGGTGCGTGCCTATTTTGTACAGCCTGGAAATCTTCAGAGATCCCGCTCCCCCGCGGGCCTGGGATCAGTGCCAAATGAGTCGCCAGGCTATCCCCAGGCCTCTGTCCTGCCTGGCTCGTGGCACCAAGGGCTGAGTTTTGCACTGATTCCCCGGGGTGGTGGATCTCAGCACTCAGCCCCTTCCCTTCTGCTCGTTCCTTTCTGCGAAATGGTTTGATCATCTTTGCAAAGTGCTTGCCTGGCTGCTGCTGCCCCAGGGAGAAGCCAGGCAGGCCAGTGCGCAAAGTCCACAGCTAGGGACCAGGAGTCACCTTGTCTCCCGGATGGACAGCAGTACAGGGCACCTGCTTCTGCCTTTGCATGCCTTGAGTTCCCTGTTGCTCTGCCTCACTTTGAGAGCTCTGCATGCAGCTGGCTGCCAAGGGGCTGTGCTTTCCCGGGCAGCTCTCAGTATCTGCTTGTCCCTTCCTTTGCTCCTGTGGTGACCTCACCCCCTAGGGGGAGGTGATTCCTGTGTCTGCCAGTGAGAGGGTCCTGGATGGGTGAGGTGGCTGCAACCTGCCCCATCTGGGCTCCCCTCTGGGCTGCTTCCATCCTCCAGAACCCTTTGATTTGTGCTCTGGATGGGGGCACGGGACATTGGTTGGCCCTGCTCCATTCCCAGCTCTGCAACTGAGTCACTGTGACCCCCTGCAAGTCGTTTCACCTCTTGTGCCTCAGTTTTGCCTCTCTGTAAAATGGGGATACTACTGACCTACCTCAAGGGGTGCCGTCAGGCAGGATCGTCTGTAAAATGCATGGAGATCCTCACAGATGGGGTTGGAGAAGGGTAATTATCACTAAGGTTATTTAATTTTTCCCGAATAATTTAATCGGTGGTGGAGAAGGTTTGCTTAAGGCATTTGACTGTTGCTATCTCCTACGAGGATCCAGGTTGGGTAATGGATGGTTCTGGGGCCAGGCTGCTCCCAGCTGGGCCCCCACTTGTGACCTGCCCTCCAGCAGGAGCAGAGGTGACTGACTGAGCCTGGGTCCGTGCTGCTGCAAACTCAATCGTTGCAAATAAAACGTGAGATCAAAAGCAGGGAGACTTTGCATCTTCCTACTGGGTCTGCTGGGACCAGCCCATCATGGGGCTGAGGCGTTACTCGCGGGGAGTGGGGCACAGTCCAAAGGAGGTGAAGGGAAGGGTGCGCAGTGGTCGCCTCACAAATGCAGCCGCATGCACAAAGGTCCTGTGTTAAGCTTGGAGAGGGGGAGAAAGGGAGTGAGGGGGCCGGGAGCATGGCTGTGAGCACTCTTTGGGGAAGAGGGGAGCCCTCAGGGGATTCCCTGAGGCTGCATAGCCTGCTGCCCCCAACCTAACTGGCCCCAAAATTGCATTAAAAGTAGAAGAACCATGACACGGGATTGCAAAAAGGCTCCTTACTGCAGCCCGGCCCTGTCTGTGGCAGGCAAAGGGGCTCGGGCCTGGGTTAGCCCTTGCTCATGGGGTCTGTGCTGCACAGGCCAGACTCGGCACCTGGCTGCTCCTCTCTGATGCACTGAGCAGGTTGCAGAGCCTGGAGAAGGGATGTGTCGGGCCCAGGGGATGCAGCAGCCCTGCAGGGCCCAATCCTGTAGTGCTGCATGCACCACCGTGTAGGAACTGGGCCTGCTGCAGGTACATGTCCTGCCTCAGCCATTGTGGCACTGCTGCCCCTTGCTCACAAAGCATCTCTTGCAGTGCCCATGCCATTGCCACCGCGTGTATTAGGTGTGTGTGTTAATGTGTGTGCTTGTAGGTGTATATGGGGGAGGGGTTAAAAGTGTGCTGTATGTGTATATTATGTGTGCAGGTGTATATTAGGTGTGTGTGTGTGTGTGTGTGTGTGTGTAGGTGTATAGTAGGACTGTGCGTAGGGGTGTATTGGCTGTGTGCGCCTGTAGGTGTATATTAAGTGTGTAGGGGTATACTAGTTGTGTTAGTGTGTTAATGTGTATATTGTGTATAGGGGTATATTGGGGTGTATCTTAATGTGTGCACATGGTGTATATTAGAGGGGGGGTGTTAATGTGTTGTAGGTGTATAATAAGTGTGTGTGCATGGAATCACAGACAAGGAGGGTTGGGAGTGACCTCAGGAGGTCACATCTAGTCCAACCCTTGCTCAAAACAGGACCACCCCCAACTACATCATCCCAGCCAAGGCTTTGTCTACCCGGGGCTTCAAAACCTCCAAGGATGGAGAGTCCTCTCTAGGTAACCCGTTCCAGCGTTTCACCACCCTCCTTGTAGGAGTTTTTCCTAATATCCAACCTCAACTCCCCTTGCTGCAGCTTGAGCCCATTGCTCCTTGTCCTGTCGTCTGCCCCCACTGAGACCAGCCCAGCTCCATCCTCTTTGCAGCCCCCCTGCAGGGAGGTGAAGGCTGCTGTCAAATCCTCCCTCAGTCTTCTCTTCTCCAGACTCAGTCAACCCAGTTCCCTCAGCCTCTCCTCACCTGTCCTGCCCCCCAACCATTTTCATTGTCCTCTGCTGGACTCTCTCCAATGTGTCCACATCCTTTCTGGAGTGGGGGCCCACAGCTGGACACAGGACTCCAGATGTGGCCTCCCCAGTGCTGAACAGAGGGAAAGCATCGCTGCCCTCGATCTGCTGGCAATGCTCCTGCCAATGCAGCTCAGGATGCCAGTAGCCTTCTTGGCACCAAGGGCACACTGCATATATATACCTAAAGATATAGACACATATTTTAATAATTAAAATAACCAAGGGCACACTGCTGGATCCTATTCAGTTATCATCCACTAACCCCCCAACTGGCCTTTTCTGCAGAGCTGCTGCCCTGCCCATCACCCCCAGCCTGCACTGATGCAGGGAATTGCTCCCTCCCCAGTGCAGGATTTTGCACTTGTCCTTGTTGAACCCCGTGAGATTTATTTTGGCCCAATCCTCCAATGTGTCAAGGTCTCTGAATCCCAGCCCGACCCTGCAGCGTATGTAGTGGGCGCCCCACCTGGGTGTCATCTGTGCTGCGGAGGGTGCGCCGCATCCCATCTTTCAAGTCATCGATGAAGACATTGAACGAAACCAGCCCCAGGACCGACCCCGGGGGCGCTGCACTTGATACCAGCTGCCAACTAGACCACGAGCCATGGATCCCGGCCGTCTGAGCCCGATGCTCCAGCCAGTTTGAGCCCCCACCGCGCCCATGCAGCCTGGACTTCCTCGGCTGGCCTGCGGGCGGGTGCAGGTGTGCACTGAGCGTGTAACGTGTGCATGTAGGCATATGATGTATATTAGGCACCTGTGTTTACATATGTGTGTGTGCTGGTGCACAGTCAGCGTGCTCGCGCACGTGGGCGCAGCTGAGCACGTGTCCGTCTCCCAGGAAAAGCCATGTTCGCTGCGCGCACGGAAGAGGTTTGGCTGCTCTCGGGCACCGTCGCGGAGGTGGAGCTGGCCACGCCCCTTCCCCTCAAGCCCGGGAAATAGCTCCAGAGCCACGTCGAATCTCCCGCGTCCTCGTTCCCCGGGCAACCGCACCTACTTCCGGCTGCTTCCGCCAATCGCAGCGTTCGCCTGCGAGGCACGGGCCAATCGGCGGCGGCCCCGGAAGTGGCCGTCCGGGAAGCAGCATGGAGCGCCTGTGGGCCGGGGACTGCGCGCAGCTGGTCCGCAGCTGGCGGGTGTGTGGGCACGCGTCATGCGTGTGTGCTAATGCGCGCGTGCAGGTGTCTGTTAGCACGTGTCCGCATGAGGCCGCGTGCGTGCACATACCTGTATGTGTATATTGGTGTGTGCTCGTGTGTGTGTCAGCGTGTGCTAGTGTGCAAATCCGGACGTGTATATTAGCACGGGGGTAAATGTGTGTGCTAGGTGTGCTGGTGTGTAGGTGTGGGTCTGTCCAGGTGTGGGTGTGCATGTTAGTGTGCTAATGTGTGTGTGAGTATAAGTATGTGTGTTAATGTGTGCTAGTGTGCATGCATGTGCTAACATGCACATGTGCTAATGTGTGTGTAGGTGTACGCTAGCATGTGTGCATGTGGGGGTATGTTCAGCTGTGGGTGTACATTAGTGTGCTAATGTGCGCGCGTGTATACGTTTGGGTGTATTAGTGGGTGTTAACGTGTGCTAGTGTGCATGCAGGTGTTCGTGTACACATGCACCTGCATGTGTTGGCGTGCACATGTGTGTGTGTAGGTGTATGCCAGCATGTGTGGGTTGGGGGTGTGGGTTCATGTGTCCATGGGTTGTGGTCATGTGGGCATGCACATTGGTTTGCTAGTGCACGCACATGTGTGTGTGAATGTGGGTGCGTGCGTTCGCATTGCAGTCTGCTCTTCCCCAGTCTGTGCCGCGCTTGCTTTGCCCGCTGCACCAGGGCAGTTTCCTGAAGGGAGAGGCCAAGGCCAGGCTGGGTGCCAACGAGGGGCTTCTCCCCCACGCCCCCGCCGGGAGATCTCCCCCAGCCCTGCCCCAGCGCGTGACTGTGGCCTCCTTGCAGGTCGCCAGCTCGTTGGGGCCGGGCCGTGCGGCGAAGCAGGCAGTACTGCAGCACCGACGCGCCTTTGAGAAACTGCTGCAGAAAATCCAAGGTACCGCGTTGCGTTCTGGCTGCCCTGTACGTCACGAGGTGCCGCCCGCAGAGCACGGAGGCAGGCGGGTGCTGGAGCGCTGCTGATGGACCCCTGGATGCGTGCGGGGATCGGTGTCGCTGCGGCAGGGGTCTGCTGGCAGAGCTGCTTTGTGACAGGGGAGTTCGACCTCTGTAGTCAGAGCAGTAGGCTTGCCTAGGGCAGTGTTTCTCTACCCCTGGGTCGCGACCCAAAAGCTGGTCGCAAGAATACATGAAAGGGTTGGGAACAAAAAAGGATCCACCCCCTTTAAAAACACACTCTTCTTTAAAGGAGAAAACCCTTTAAAGGAGAAAAGGTTGCCATCCCTGTCTGCACTGTCCAGTGGAAGTGGAACATCAGGGATTGCCATTCGAGGGGCAGCCATCATTGTGCCCGCATTGGGCCTGTCTCTGCAGGTGCAGCCTCGCGGCCTTTTGAGATGCACACGTTTGGAGGTGATGAGAGGAGCCCTGGAGCGGGGGTTGTGTCCCCGCCCTGAGCTGCACCTGCTCCTTTTCTTAAAGGATGTGGCTGGGAGCCATGAAGCAGCCTCCTTTTCCTCTCAGTAGCGAGGGGAGCTGGAAGGAGCAGCAGCGTACTGGAGGGTCTTCCGGAGCTGGGGAAAGACAGATGGTATTAACTTCCCTGCTGAAGGAGGCAGACTTGGGGCAGGGCAGCAGCTGGTGGAGGAGCTAGAAGTGACTTCCTGTAGAGCAGGGATGTCAAACTCATTTCAGGCCCCAGACTGGATCCAAACCTCAGGACTGTATTTACACTGCCCTTGCTTGCCCTCCTGCTGCCAATGACGATGTCCATCGGGATCCAGGGACCCCGAATTCTGCAGCAGGCCACGCTCCAACAGTCATGCTCCGCAGCTTCAGCCATGCCCAATGGAACAGTCTTGTGGACTGATTCCAGCCGTATGTTTGACACCCCTGCTAGAGAGAAAGTGCTGGAAGGAGACCTGCCCAGAGGCAACCACACTAGGAAGAGGCGGTAGCATCGTGGGTTGGTCAGGGGGATAAAGCAGTTGCCATCCTAGAATGGTCATGCTATACCTGTACCTAAGAGACGGTGCAAAATCCCTGCTGTTTAAGGGGACAAGAGCTGCACCAGGAAGGGCAAAGCCCATTGGTGATTTCCGAAAAAATCAGAGGGGACGTTTCTGCATTGGAGGGTCAAAGCCTCTGTGTGTCTAGTCTGAAGGAAGCTGGGGTGTGGCCTCCTAATGCAGCACTTCCAAATGCTGGAGAGGAGATTGGCCTGGTCAGAGCTTTTCTTCTCCAGTGAATGTAGGGCTTGGGGAGCGCACTGGAACCAGAGTGGGAGTGAATTGGGCAGCAGGGCAACCTGGTAAATCATTGGCATCTGGGTCAATCAGGCACACTGTTTGATGCTTATCTGCATTGGGCCCATCTCTGACTGTAGGGCTGCCAGCTGTCCTCCCCAGCCTGCCTCTGGAGCTGACTGTGCTCTACAACTC